AAGGAAAGGAAAGGAAAGGAAAGGAAAGGAAAGGAAAGGAAAGGAAAGGAAAGGAAAGGAAAGGAAAGGAAAGGAAAGGAAAGGAAAGGAAAGGAAGAAGATTGAGCCTTAAATGTCTTAAATAACATTCCTTTTTCATTAACTCATGTATCTTCTATAAATATATATCTTATGTTAGTCTTATTGGCTCTTCTCCATACATAAAGTGCAAGTTTGAAATGTAAAGTGAAAAACTATGGCTGATTCAGTTGTATTGTGTGGTAGATACTTTGAGACTGGGAGCATCTGGAAATAATTATCCTTATCTCTGCTATTGTTTTGTAAGTCATGTCTTAAAATGTATTCATCTGAAAGATTTGCAAACAAATTGTTGCAGCCTTGCTTATTTTTTCTATTAATCAACATTTATTTCTATACATTTAGTGAATTAATTGTTAGTAAACTATTCCTCTGGCAATTTGTAACATTTTTTTAAACTGGTATGGTTTTTTTCTCCTTCTCTGATTTGCTTACCAGGATCTTTTGGGGAAAGATATTTTAGAATTCTGCCATCCAGAAGATCAAAGTCATTTAAGAGAAAGTTTCCAGCAGGTAACATTTTCTTTATTCATACGGTCTCTTTGTATTCTTCATCCCAATGTGAAATCAGGTATAAGATAATAATAGCAGGCAAGTATGTAATATAGCATAAATAATTATTTGTAATGTGAAAGAAACTTAATTTAAGTTTGTTAATCTTGAGTTCATTAGTAAACCCACATTTACTGCATCCAGTTCTGCTCACCACAGTATACAAAAGATGTTGAGACTTTGGAAAGAGTGCAGAGAAGAACAACAAGAACGATCAAGGAGCTGGAGGCTAAAAGATACAAAGAACGGTTACAGGAATTGGCTCTGTCTAGTCTAATGAAAAGAAGGACTAGGGGAGATGCGATAGCAGTATTACAATATTTGAGGGGCTCCTACAAATATGTCAAACTATTTTCCAAAGCACCAAAAGGCAAGACAAGGAACGATAGATGGAAACTAACCAAGGAGAGAAGCAACCTAGAACTAAGGAGAAATTTCCTAATGCTGTGAGCAATCATCCAATGGAATAGTTTGCCTTTAGAAGTTGTGGATGTTCCATCACTGGAGGCTTTTAAGAAGAGACCTGACAACCACTTGTCTGAAACAATATAGGGTCTTCTACTCAAGCAGTGGGTTGGACTAGAAGACCTCCAAGGTCCCTTCCAACTCCATTATTCTATGTTCTATTTATGCGCTGCGTGTTCATGCTGAATCCTAGAACTATATGGAAGCATAAAATTATATTCTCCAATGCTCCCCTAAGCTGTTCATTGCAATCAGAAATTCTGTTACAAATCATAATTTGAATGCTATCAATACGGTCTTCTGTTTGTTTTGCATGTTAGAACTTCAAGTTCAGGTCTTTTTTAGTTGTAAAAATGTGTTCAATACACCATCCCTAGTTCATCTCATTCACCTTTCATCTCATGTTTAACAAAACCAAAGCTATTAAATGCCTGTAACTCCCGCAGCCCAAGCCAGTGAATGCTATTCTGCCAATTTCAACTCTGTTAAGCTGTCAAATCATGCATTTGGAAAATCTCAGTTGATGATTTATAGATATCGGATTATTTTAAAACTTTCTTACAACTGGTAGTAATAAATGTCTAGCTCCCCCCCCCCCCCCAATTTTTTTTTTACTCAGCAAATAATTCAAATCAAAGAGCTAAAGAGCATGTGTAATCAATTCTACACTGAGCTCCATCTTTTCAGAGGAGAAATTGGAATTTGTGTCATGGTAAGACAAATCAATTTTGATTTATCCAGCATGCCTTTTGACAAATTGCTTTGGCCGGTTACCAGGCTCACATTCCAGCTGCTTTCCTTGCCACATTTAGCTGCAGGTTAGATTGCTTTGGTCCTTGCTTGAAACTCAGCACTTCCTTGTTTTCCTACTGAAAGGCTGAATGTTAATGGGTTAGCTGTTTGGGATGTGCACAAGTTCCTTGAGTTTCCTCCAGCTTATAGTTATTCCATTGTGAAATAAGAAAAACAAGATTTTGGGAGGGCGGAGCTGGCGTCGCGATGATACGGCATGCGATCTTGGAGGTCTCAGATCGCTGCCGATATCTTTGCTCCTGGACGGTCCTATTGGATCTAAACCATCCCGAAGAGATGGTGAAAGTGAAGAGCGCATCCTGTCAATCCCAGGGATACCGCAAAGTCCCTGGTAGATCCAGGAGAAGCTCTTCTTGCCAGCGGCAAAGAGGCAGCCATTAAAGCTGCTGAAGTTGGGACAGCTCCGAAATGGAAGAGAGCAGAAAGAGAAAGTGTGCTGGTTTGGTGAGAACTTTTTCTTTACTTTAAGATTTGAAAGGATACCCTAAGGAAAAGAAAGAATCTGTAAAAGTTTTGACAGAAGTGATTAAGCGGCGATTTTAAACAGGAATGTCAAAGTAATGTTTTGTTTTGTTTTTCTCATTGCTGGATTTTCTATATATGATCTTGTATTTTGAAACTGGACTGTTTTTTTCGTTTATATCTATTTTTTTCTTCTCCTTTTTGATGTTGTAATATTTTAGGCTAGAGGCTCCCTTTAGTTATTTCATTTTTAAAAAAAAAATCTTTTCTTTTTTTATTAATTCTTATTATATCCTGCTCGGAAAAGGAGGGGGAAAGTGAGAGCAAAGAAACTTTGTAACACTGCCAACTAGAGGCTTGAAAATATTCTGTTTCCCTGTGACCAGACAAAGCTGAGAAAGAAAGAACTGAGACTCTTTTCCAAGGACATTGCCTGTTTGATAAGATAGAGGGAAGAGCATGGGAGAGTATTATTGCAGGTGCTCTTCTGGGTTTCTATCAACAGCTGGAGTCTGGTGTTGAAACGTAGGGGGGAAAAAGGTGATAAGATTTTGGAGAAGAGAGTTATAATAAGAGCCTTGGATAATCAAACAAAGTGCAGTGTGCCCTTTTTACTTTTCCTAAGTTGTGCTATCCCTCCTCACCAGCTTTATTGTATTTTTTTATCTTTTTTTTTTTTTTTTGTAATAACTATTTGGGTTTTTTGGCTTTGTTGGAGCTTGTCTTTGTTTTTCTTTCTTTCTTTCTTTCTTTTTTTGGAAGTCCAATCTCTACGTTTGCTTTTTATTTTAAAGGGAAACCCTTAAAGGCCTCTTTTTTTTCTCCTTTCCTGGTATTTTTGTTTTTTCATCTACCTTTCTGGTTTATTTTTATGCACTTTTTTCTATTTGAGATTTTTCAGTTGGATTAAGGTGTTGAAGAACCTGAAGAATTTTTCCTTTTCCTTTTTTTTCCTTAAGTCTTTTTCTTTATCTAACTATTGATTGGATACAAGAACCTGAAGAAATTTTGTCCTCCCTTTTTTTTCTTTTTTTTATTATTATTATTGGGCTTCTTTTTTCTACTATTTTTATTTTGAACTATAATTGGTTACTTCACAATTGGATTAAGGTTTAGAAGAACCTGAAGATTTTGAATTGCTTAAAATGAGTAGGAAATTTATAGCTCCTGGTTCTTCAACTTCTACTTCTTCCTCTCCACCATCTGGAGGACAACGTTCAATACAGACAGTTAAAGCAAGAAAAAGAACAAGAAAAAGTGACTCTGCAGATGATTATGCAAGGAATTCAAAATATTCAAGCAAGATCAGAGAATATTGAAAAGAGAATAGAGAACATTGAACAAAGAACAGAGAACATTGAACAAAGAACAGAGAACATTAAACAAAGAACAGGGAAAACCGATGAAAAAGTGGAGAACATCCAACAAATGATGTTGAAGTATGATGAGAGATTCCAAAAAATTGAAGAAGAAGATAAACAAAGAGACTAGAAGATTGGAGATATTGATAATAGATTAATGGTGGTTGAACAAGATAAAAGTAGTATGTTGAGATGGGAGATGGATAGATTAGAATTCTATCTTAGATTCCAAAATGTAGAGGAACAAAAAGGACAAAACCTAGCTGAGATAATGATAGAAGTACTGGCTGAAGCTTTGGAAATAACTCAAGAGAAGATGATGGATGGAATAGATGAGGTTTATCAAGTTTTCACAAGATATGCGATGAGAAATAGCTTACCAAGAGAAGTTCACATTAGATTTACAAAGAAAGCCATTAAAACACAAATATTGCCAGTGGCAAAAGAGAAAACATTGAAATACAAAGACAAGGAGATTATGGTCTTGAAACAAATACCCAGAAGAGTGAGAGAGATGAGAAGAGAATACCGATTCCTGACTAAAATGCTACTTAAAAAAGAGGTGAATTATAGATGGCTGATTCCAGAAGGTTTAATGTTCACATGGCAAGAACAGAGACATAGAATTGACTCAATTGAGAAAGCGGAATTATTTTATACAGAATTTTTTTGGAAGGAAAGAGGAAGAGGCAGAAAAAGAGATCTCACTAATTGAATTCCAAGAGGACTGCCAAATGGCAACTGAAAAAGAAGAAGGCGCAGTAGGTGGAAAGGTGGAAGCCAAAGAACAACGTGAACTAAGATCTA